AGAAGAGAGGCATCTCATCACACTGCAGTGAAGAGAGGGATCTCATCACACTGCAGTGAAGAGAGGCGTCTCATCACACTGCAGTGAAGAGAGGCATCTCATCACACTTCAGTGAAGAGAGGCATCTCATCACACTGCAGTGAAGAGAGGCGTCTCATCACACTGCAGTGAAGAGAGGCGTCTCATCACACTGCAGTGAAGAGAGGCGTCTCATCACACTGCAGTGAAGAGAGGCGTCTCATCACACTGCAGTGAAGAGAGGCGTCTCATCACACTGCAGTGAAGAGAGGCGTCTCATCACACTGCAGTGAAGAGAGGCGTCTCATCACACTGCAGTGAAGAGAGGCGTCTCATCACACTGCAGTGAAGAGAGGCGTCTCATCACACTGCAGTGAAGAGAGGCATCTCATCACACTGCAGTGAAGAGAGGCATCTCATCACACTGCAGTGAAGAGAGGCGTCTCATCACACTGCAGTGAAGAGAGGCATCTCATCACACTGCAGTGAAGAGAGGCATCTCATCACACTGCAGTGAAGAGAGGCGTCTCATCACACTGCAGTGAAGAGAGGCGTCTCATTACACTGCAGTGAAGAGAGGCGTCTCATCACACTGCAGTGAAGAGAGGCGTCTCATCACACTGCAGTGAAGAGAGGCGTCTCATCACACTGCAGTGAAGAGAGGCGTCTCATCACACTGCAGTGAAGAGAGGCGTCTCATCACACTGCAGTGAAGAGAGGCGTCTCATCACACTGCAGTGAAGAGAGGCGTCTCATCACACTGCAGTGAAGAGAGGCGTCTCATCACACTGCAGTGAAGAGAGGCGTCTCATCACACTGAAGTGAAGAGAGGCATCTCATCACACTGCAGTGAAGAGAGGCATCTCATCACACTACAGTGAAGAGAGGCGTCTCATCACACTGCAGTGAAGAGAGGCGTCTCATCACACTACAGTGAAGAGAGGCGTCTCATCACACTGCAGTGAAGAGAGGCATCTCATCACACTGCAGTGAAGAGAGGCGTCTCATCACACTGCAGTGAAGAGAGGCGTCTCATCACACTGCAGTGAAGAGAGGCGTCTCATCACACTGCAGTGAAGAGAGGCGTCTCATCACACTGCAGTGAAGAGAGGCGTCTCATCACACTGCAGTGAAGAGAGGCGTCTCATCACACTGCAGTGAAGAGAGGCGTCTCATCACACTGCAGTGAAGAGAGGCGTCTCATCACACTGCAGTGAAGAGAGGCGTCTCATCACACTGCAGTGAAGAGAGGCGTCTCATCACACTGCAGTGAAGAGAGGCGTCTCATCACACTGCAGTGAAGAGAGGCGTCTCATCACACTGCAGTGAAGAGAGGCGTCTCATCACACTGCAGTGAAGAGAGGCGTCTCATCACACTGCAGTGAAGAGAGGCGTCTCATCACACTGCAGTGAAGAGAGGCGTCTCATCACACTGCAGTGAAGAGAGGCGTCTCATCACACTGCAGTGAAGAGAGGCGTCTCATCACACTGCAGTGAAGAGAGGCGTCTCATCACACTGCACTGAAGAGAGGCGTCTCATCACACTGCAGTGAAGAGAGGCGTCTCATCACACTGCAGTGAAGAGAGGCGTCTCATCACACTGCAGTGAAGAGAGGCGTCTCATCACACTGCAGTGAAGAGAGGCGTCTCATCACACTGCAGTGAAGAGAGGCGTCTCATCACACTGCAGTGAAGAGAGGCGTCTCATCACACTGCAGTGAAGAGAGGCGTCTCATCACACTGCAGTTAAGAGAGGCGTCTCATCACACTGCAGTGAAGAGAGGCGTCTCATCACACTGCAGTGAAGAGAGGCGTCTCATCACACTGCAGTGAAGAGAGGCGTCTCATCACACTGCAGTGAAGAGAGGCGTCTCATCACACTGCAGTGAAGAGAGGCGTCTCATCACACTGCAGTGAAGAGAGGCGTCTCATCACACTGCAGTGAAGAGAGGCGTCTCATCACACTGCAGTGAAGAGAGGCGTCTCATCACACTGCAGTGAAGAGAGGCGTCTCATCACACTGCAGTCGCATTAGTCTGCTGCCTCCTGCCACCCGCACCCCACGCTCTGGCATGACTAGTCCAGGCTCAAGCAAACGAATCAGAGAATGGTGCTACGATAGATACACAAGGGCTGTGCGGGCTGCATGGCCGTTCGTGCCACACAAGGCAGCGTTGAACTCGAGCATCGGGCGAAGCCATGGGCGCGCGAGTGGCGGCGCTGGAAAGGTGCACCCGCATGGCCTCGCCGTCGCCTTGCCGCCACGCCCACACTCACTCACACGCAACACTCGCATGTGCCACGCGAGCCCCCACCACGCGCCTCGTCAGAGTTAAAAGGCATGACTCCTGCTGCGCCCACCTGCTGCGCCCACCTGCTGCATGTGGTCGAGTATGTTGTTTTGAGAAGTCTTAAAAAACATGTGGTCGCCTGCCAGCCTGCACCACATCATGTCTTCGCCAAACGTCATGCCTGCCTCTCCCCCAACTTCTTGTCCCTCCGCCCACACCCACCCCCACCTTTCCCCCCACCCCCCTGCCCGCGCGCACATCTGCAGCTACATCGCCCGTGAGCGCGTCAATGCTGCTGCGCGCCTGAGAGTCGCCATCAGCGCCGTGGCCGCCCGCGTGTTGGCTCTGAGACTTAAACGTAGTGAGTACGTGACTAAGCAGGTCACGAAAGTAGCAGTAGCGGGCTCCAAACTGGATCTGAAAGTTGAGAAATCAGGTTGCTTTCCAACCCAGGTTGCAAACAGAAAGTTTCACTATGAAAAATTGATACAATGAGGAAAACAGAACATGATATTTAAGCAATCTGAAATCCGAATTTCAATGTGCGCCTCGCGTAACGCGCCTCGTCGCGAATCCGAATTTCGTAACAGTAACCGGCATTGAAACCGAAATTCAAACTGAACCGTCGGTGAAACCGACTTTCTTCAACTCCACCGAACACCGCCTCCAGAAAGGTTGGGAAAATTCTGGCGGTCCAGAACGTTCTCCCTTCTCTTCCTCTTCAAACCCTCGTTTTCACCAGCTCTTCCTCAGGATCTCTCACCTAACTCTTCCCACCGTCAGAACTCGTTATTCCAGCCTATTCTCTCCCACCGCCATAGGTAAGGCAATTTCCAAGTGTCCTGTTCTGTCGTTTTCATGCTCTAGAGTCGGTGCAGCGGCGAACCACTTCTAACATTGGCCGCCCGCGTGTTTGCCGCCCGCGTGTTGGCCGCCCGCGTGTTGGCCGCCCACGTATTGACTTCCCGCGGAATGGCTTTCCGTGCGCAAATCCGCAACCAGCTAGCCCTCTTCGCGTCTTTGGGGTCCGCGGCGCTCCCCGCGTTATGTCTGCCGCTGGGACGACCCCTCGCCTGTGATGGGCGCAGGCGGCGGGCTGTCTGAAACGCGCACGCGGAAGGTACCGGCGCAGATGCTGCGCGGGGAACAGATGGGGACCGATCAAGCGGCGACAGGCGGCAGGCAGAGGAGCCGCAGCGGCGATTCGACTCGCCTCAGAGGCCGCCGTGATGACGAAGATGGCAGCCCGCCGCGAGAAGGTGGCGGCGAGCGCGGCAACGGCGACGATACGGGCGAGAGTCGCCGCTGTCGCCACCACGACTGTGATGATTGCAACTGCGACAGCCGCTGTTGGTTGAGAGCGCGCGCAGCACTGCAGCGGCTCGGGAGCGGGCCTGACGCCCTCATGCTACCGCGGTGGCCGCGCTGCTGCGGAAACCTTTCCGCTGAAAGCTTGTCGCCATGGCGGCAGCGGAGGCGCCATGAGACGAGCTGAAAGTTGCTCTTTCCCTGGCGATCGCGAGCTCGTCTCGAGGCGACACCGAAACGCGCAAACTCTGCGATTAGTAGGCGTTGAACGGGCCGATTGCAGCGACAGCCGAATCGCATTTCGCCATTGAACCTACGCGGAGCACCACGACGGCCCGCAACGGGCGTCGCTCGAAACGGCGCGCACCGGCATCGCTCGCACGGCCATCACGCGGTCCGTCAACCGACGGCTTGACGATTGCGCCTCATTGAGAAACCTGAATGGCTCGAAAAAGTAAGTCGGCCCGTGTTAGGGCGTGTCCCACGAGTTCATTTGAGGAGAAAATAATATTTTTTACGTAATTTCGACAAAGCAAGAGAGTGTACACTCTGACGTGAAAAACACGCAGCGCGTCAGCACAGCACCAAACGAAATTGACCCACGCGGACTCAAAGCCCCACCCACACAAAAATTGTCATCCGAACATGGGCCGCGAGCGGTAACTCGCCACAGTGCGAATCAACTTTGCCCCTTGCGAATTTTATTGTTTTTTTCGCGCGACTGAATGTGCGCGAGGTCTCCGATTGGGGTAACGAAATGGAGGACCCGGTACGAAGTGATCTCACGTGCCTTGTACGGGGGATAGTACGAACCTCTTGACGTCTTAGGTGCGTCATCAGGTGCGTCATTGAAGACGCATGTCATGCAGGGAAGGGTTACAGACAGAAAACAGGGTTACAGCCTTGAACTTGAGCTGTAGTTGAACTCGTGGGACACGCCCTTAGAAAAACACTCACAGAATGTGGTTACCGAAGGTTGCGATGTCGCCTTACGAAGGGAGGTCACCATGTTCGTCAGACATTCGCGAATCGGCCTCCTTGTCCAAAACGCTACAGCCTCGATTCCTCAGAAATCGTTCGCCAGACGTTTCGAGAAGCATTTTCAGACCAGGCAGGCCGCAGGGCTGCTCCGTGTTTCACTTTCACCCGCCTCCTCTCCGCTCGCTCGAAGCACCGCCGTCCGATCTCAGCTTGTCTCTCTCCAACCTTCCTCACCGCCGCTAATTTCGTTCCATTCGCAGTGCGGGAATTTGTCGGTTGCTTTTCTTCGCATCCTCCAATAATGTTGCTGTGATTCCGTCCAACAAGCACCCCCCCTTTAGGTCAGTGTTAGCGACTGAGTTGGTTCCAACAGGGTCCTCGTCGCGGTTCCACCTTATAAAAATGCCGGATAACGACCCTACTGGCGACGATGGCGACACTCATCGCACTCCCGACGCGTCGCAGCCGCAGCCGAGCGACGAAGTCGCAGGCGACGGAAACCCCGGCGACGAAAATTCTGGCGAAGACGACGACGACACTCCCGAGGGCCGCGCGACGCAGCTGAACATGTACCTGTCGGACGACGGCGAAGTGCTGGACCTCACTGGTAACCAGCTCAAGGACCTCGCCGGCATTCCCCTCCCACCGACTCTCACCGATCTGGACCTCACCACCAACCGCCTCGCCGCGCTGGACCCGCGGATCGGCGACCTGGAGCGGTTGGAGAAGCTGTCGTTTCGACAGAACCTTATAACGGATGCCGCTGCAGCGGGGCTGAAGGATTTGACCCGGCTGACGTCACTGAAAGTGAGATTTCAGACCCCTGTCACCCCTAACCGTCGTGGCTGTTGGAGCGGACGGTGTGGATGCGTGTGATCGCGATCAGCGGGGAGCCAGAGCCCTCGCATTTCCCCCTCTCCCCATCTTTCCTCTCTCCCCCCTCGCCGCTCTCTCCCCTCTCCTTCCTCTCCCTCCTCTCCTCCTCCCTCTCCTCCTTCTCACTCCCCCCGCGCCACTCCCCCCGCGCCACGCCCTCCATCGCTCCCACCCCGCAGCAGCTCGTGCAGCGCCACGTCACGCAGTGGTCTCTTGAACTAGCTGCCCTGCGTATCGGCCCTGCCCTCCCCGCCGTCTCGCCCCGCACCCTCACACCAACCACATCCACGCCAGCCGCCCCGCACCCTCACACCAACCACATCCACGCCAGCCGCCCCGCACCCTCCCCCCTTTCCTCCCGCATTTCCGCACGCCCTGCTCTTCGCTGCCTTGCACGGTTGCACCTCTCCGCTCTGAATAAAATCCCACCCACTCTCCGCCGCCTCTCTTCCCCACCCCTCCTCCCACCCCCTTCAGGTGCTCGTCCTGCGAGGCGGCCTCTTTAAATAAGATCGCTTTGCCCTCCCCTCCCCTTCTTCCCTCCCTCTCCTCCCCACAACCCCAGGAGCTCGTACTGAGGGACAACCTCTTGAAGAAGGTGCCGCTCGTCTCCCCCCTCACCGCCCTCTCACTCCTCGACCTCTCCTACAATCACATTCACGCCATGGCGCCCCTGGCGGCCTCCGCCCTCCCCGCTCTGCGCGAGCTGTATCTGGCCAACAACCGCATCGGGCACATGGAGGCGCTGGAGGGCTTCACTCAGCTGCGCCTGCTGGAGCTGGGGTCCAACAAGATCCGGGTGAGACAGGGGGTGGGCAGGGTCATGGTGCAGTGCGGTGCAGCACGGTAAGTCCCCCTCCCCGCTCTGCGCGAGTTGCACCTGGCGAACAACCGCATCGGACACATTGAGGGGTTACCGCAGCTGAGGCTGCTGGAGCTGGGGTCGAATAAAATCCGGGTGAGTGTGGGGTGTGTGGGGGGGGGGAGGGGGGGAGGGGGGGGGGGGTGTTGGTTAAATGCGGGGTGGGGAATGAGATGCAGTGGGGCAAGGCAAGCTTTGGAGGATGCAGTGAGGTGCAGTAAGGTGAGACAGGTCACGTCCTCCTTGCCCCTCCCTCCCGCTAAACGTGCGCGAGCTGTATCTGGCCAACAAACAACCACATGGGCCACATCGAGACACTATAGGGGTTCACGCATGCAGCTCAAGGTGGGGCGGGGTGGTGGGGCAAGCTCAAGGTGCAGTGAGGTGCAGCAAGGTGAGGGAGGCCGCCCCCCCTTTCCCCTTCCTCCCTTCCTTACCTGGCCAACAACCGCATTGGGTGCGGCGCATTCATGTACCGTAGGTGTTGTCTCACCTCACTAATCCTGTAGAGGAATATTCGGTATTCGAGAACTATTCGATATTCGTTCGAATACATGAATTCGAGAGAATAGGAATCGACCGAGAATTTGAAAATATTCGAATCACGAGTATTCGTGAATGTAGAACATTCGAGTAACGAATATTCGGGGTATTCGTTACCATTAACCCCCCTCATACTTTCCCTACATGCGGCTATCATCTTTGGCAGTCTGTGTCCAAGAGGCCTCGTGAGAGCCGTGCAAGATAGTAGCTGTTGAGGGGTTAGGGATAGCGCGTGGTGCAGGTTTGAACCGTGGTGTTGGTACTATAAGGTACACTGCATCACCCTGTGTCGAAAATCATTAGCCGTTCGAAACTGCTTGTACAGAATTTATTATTCGACACTTAATCGTATTCGATTCGAATTCGACAGTATTCGAATCGTATTCGTATTCGGTTTTGGGTCGGTCAGTATTCGGTAGAATAAGAAACCACACAGTATTCGGAGAATATTCAGAAAAAAAAAAAAAAAAATCGTATTCATATTCGTATTCGGATTTACAGGCTTACACCTCACCTGAGGCTGCTGGAGCTGGGTTTCAGCAAGGCCCGGGCCGGGAGAGATGGGTTGGGGGGTGATGCAAGTTTGTATAAGCAAGGTTGATCAGCGTGTGTGAGGTAAAGGTAAAAAAATCTCATTTCCAGTGACTTCACATGGGCATGAACACAGCCAGGAACTGGCCTTAGGCTGCTGGGCGCACCACTGACCGAGAGAGAGGGATTCCTTTCATCTGCCCGCACTCATTCATCTGCCCGCTGTCGCGTTATTAACACTTAGCTGGCAACTAAGTGTGAATTCCACAGCAGCCAAGGTGAGGTGTACTATAGTTTACTGCTTTTTGCATTTTACTTTGTTTGCTCTTTTTGGAATGTTACTGTACTATACAGAGTCGAGCTACTGAGGAGTTCGAGGGGGTTGGTGAGGAGGATGGGGGCGAATTCGATTCCAGCCAGCCTGGGAATTCAATTCGACATTCACAGGCTGGAAGGCGGTGCATGCCTAGTGGACCCAGCTAGCACCTTGAAGCCTACGCGATCAGCTCGGCTGACTCGCGCTTAGGAGTAGAGGTAGCTTGCGGGACAAGGCACCTAGGCAGGAGAGGATGTAGACGGGAGTAGCGCTCAGACTCATTGCTTTTTGCTTGTATGTTTCTCATTTATTGCAATTGTGATTTCCTAATCCACGAGGAACTAGCAGTAGAGATGAGCTGAAGCAAATCGGCGGAGCCCTTGCGAGGGAGGTAAGTCTTGTTTCATACAAGCAAAAAGGGTGGTCAGGATTACGATTGTTGAGAGTAGAGGTGGCAGGATCTACTGCCTAGAGTTGCTCGCGGTGATGCACCGTGAGGAATGAGTAATTTTGACCGCGAGCTTCACACTCATCAACTGCGCTCTGGACACCGATTCCCGGCGAGGATGATGGAGGGACGTGATCCGCCGGTCAGGATGCCTGGATTTCGGGCAGGCGAAGGAGGGACGAACCCACGCGGTAACCAAGGCGGGGATCGGGAGGAAGAACGAGGTGTACACGGAGAACAACAGCCGAGCTCGGCATGTGACTCGCCCGCGGAGGGGAGCGGAGGGCGACCTGTGGGGAGTGGATCTCGCCGAGGAAATCCAGATCTGGGAGGAGACGATCCACATGAAGATCGACGGAGTCAGAAGGGAGGGGAAGATCATCGAGAAGAAACGCGGAGTCTGAGAGGAGAAGAAGATCAACGAGAAGAAAGGCGTAGTTTGAGGGGAGGAGACGATCAATCGGAGGAACGACGAAGCCAACGAGGCGGGGAAGCATATCACGGATTCTCTGCCGGAGGATACGAAGCCACGGAGGCCGGGAGAGCAGGGCGACCTGCAGGGAGTGGAGAACGAGGGAACACAAGCTGGGGGACAGGCCGGTCGATGAGTATTGCACCACCCAAAATTGAGGTACCAGACCGCTTCTCGGGGGCACCTGGAGAGGAGCCCACGCTGAAAAACTACCTGATGATGATTGAAGACATTCGCTACTGCTGGGACAGGGAGCGACTGGATCCTATCGAATTTTTCAGAGGCTTGGGGAGGACTCTCAAAGGAGAGGCGTTGACTCATTACCGTGTGGAGAGGCAGGGGCTGCTGATGCGGAGCAACAGAGGAGATATCTTACCGGCAGAGATTACGGACCGTTTCTTGGATAGCCTGCAGGAGCAGTTCCCGGGGCATTCGGCTGATCGGATGGCGGAGTTTCAAGACTTCATAAGAGCGCCGGCAGAGTCGCTGTTGGCCTACTATAACTGTCTACTGGAGCTGGCAGAGGATATGGGCTGCGTGGAGGAACGCATCCTAGTGACCAAGTTTGTCAACGGACTGGATGGGGACTTGATACGAGACATGAGAAGCCGACTATACTCCTTCAGGGTACGGGCTAAGCTGCGACAGGTGTACGAGGTGGCGAAAGAAGTGGAGGATGGAAAGAGGTTCTTCGAAGGAATGAGGGGGTCAAGCTCCAATTGGCCGAGCGAACGTCGGAGGCCTGCTTGGGCAGCGGTGGAAGGGAGACAGGGGGAAGAGGAACGAAGAGAGGCCGTCTGAAGATAGACGCAGGTGTTACAAGTGCGGCGAAATGGGGCACGTGCGGAAGGATTGCGCCATAGACATAGTGTGCGACACATGCAAGATGAAAGGACATTTCAGACGTGACTGCCCCAAGGCACCTATCTGCACCGGATGTGGGAAAAGGGGGCATACTGAAGACAGGTGCTACAGCAAGGGAGAGAGAATGCGAGGAAAATCGGCAAGGGAGTTACAGTTAGAGAGAGAGTTGGCGAAGCTGAAGGGTCAGCTGGAGAAGACTGGGATTAGTGAGGACCCTGAGAAGGCATTGCTGGCTTGGGAGGACGATGAAGAGGAGGAGTATGAGAGAGAGGAGGCGGAGTACGGGGCCATGGCTATACCACCTAGAGACCGAGAGGAGTTGGGGTTGCGCAGCAGTGGGAAGGATGGCAGGACAAAGCAGAAGCAGCCTGAAAGGAGAACCCCTCGGCAACGAGAAGAAAGTAATAAGCCGAGGACGGCTCGACGGCATCCTGAGGAGAGACTCGTCTGCCAACCCACGGCTCTGGTGGTAGAACCTAAGGCAGTGGCTGTCAGGGGCATACTAGTGGAGAACGCCGTAGTGGATACAGGCGCACAGAGTGTCCTGCTGGGAAGGAAGCTGACAGAACAGTTACGGGAGAAAGGGGACTTGGAAATAGTAAACAGAGGCATACTGATCATGACAGCTGAAGGAGGGGCACCAAAGTGGATGCCCTGTACTAAGGACCCCATCGAGATTACTCTGCAGCCGGGAGAGAAGGGAGAAACGACGATAAGAGTGCAATGTGGGCTGACGGAATCGAAGGATTATGATGTTCTGCTGGGGATGGAGCTGCTATTCAAGATAGGTACAACAATATGTACCTGGCAGGAACAGGTGCTCTACCGCTCGATTTCTGGATCGAGGGAAAGGAGTTGAGTGAGCTGCCGGTGCGGTTTGTCAAGACAGAACCGAAGAAGGCTTGGAGGGCGGAGGGCATGAGAAGAGAGAGCATAAGGAGGGGGAGTACCAAAGAGGGTAAGGTCGGAGCTAACCTGGACCAATATAGCGTTATCTTAGTGGAGCTGTTTGGAGGGTTGGGGGCAGGCTTAGCGGCGGCATTGGAAGCAGGCCTGAAGGTGAAAAGATGGGTGTATGTGGAAATAGACCCAGAGGTGAAGAGGATGGCTTGGAAGCATGCACAGATACTGCAGCAGCGGTACCCAGCTCAACTGGCGAAGGAAGTGATACGGGAGGCCATGCAGAATGAGAAGTGGGATGTGGGACAGCTTACCAAGGAAGATGTGAACCGCTGGGGAAAGGTGGACCTGTTGGTAGCAGGGTGGGAGTGCCAGGGTACTTCCCGAGCGGGGAAGGGAAGAGGAATGCAGGATGACCGCACGGCGATGGTGACAACACTGCTGACGATTATGAGGTGGGCGAGAGAATCTGGCGGGGAATATGCTTACATCCTAGAACATGTGGATATGAGGAGTGATATCAGGGAGCCGGTCCGAGCCGTACGCGAGCTGGTGGAGGCAGAATTGGGAAGGGGAGTGAGTTGTGACGGGGCACAGCTAGGGGCAAGGTGTCATAGAGTGCGGCAGTACTGGCAGAACGTCCTGCCAGAAGGAGAACTGAGGGCGAGATTAGCAAGGGTGGAGAGAGATGAGAGCCGAATTGTGGAAGACATCCTGGAACCAGGGAGAGTGGCCGCCCCAGTGGTAAAGCCAGATCATCCGCGACAGTATCACTGTAACCGAGTGGGGGAAGCGAGGAGGGCCTGGCCGACACTGGTGGCCTATTCAAAGGCACGGGGATTTGTCGAAGTGGAAGGGACTCCAGGTCCAGGGATGGTGTATGATCACCGTAAGAAAAGATGGGAGGAGCCGAC